GGTCCCGGCCCGTCCGGCCCAGTACAGTCAGTCAGGCCGCCTCTGAGCTCGAGATAAGCTCAGATCGATGGTTTTGGCCTTTCCTGCAACCTTGTTGACCGGACTTTTCTCCTGCGGTCAAGCATGTGACGAAAATCCCCAACGTGCGAGGTGCATATTGTGCAGGACTCGGACGTCAGCCCATGAGCCCGGTGACTCAACAATCAACGAATTTGGCTGCGTTGTGTCGGGTTGAGATTCTGAGCCCAAACCCTCTCTCATGCTCATACTCCCCGAGTCCTCCCTCCCTCGTCTGCCCTTCACTTCACTTTGCCACTAGCCCAGCCGGAATCGACATTTCCTGCAGCATATCCTGCAGATTTGTGTTTCTTACCTACCTTAATCAGCATCAGTCCGTGTTTCTTACCTGCATCCCGTCCACCGCCACTTTGTCACGCCACCAAGTAAAAGCGATAAGACGAGGCGCAAGCAGCAGCAGTACTGGCTCCAAATAGCGTCGCATCAGTGGTTACTCGCAGAGAGAAGGTGGATTTGGGCCGAGCCTTGCGAGTTTGGATGCATCCGAGCACGCTGTTGGCTCGTATTCGAGTGGTTGCTGGAGAGCCTACAACGCTGGGCTGGGGTCGAATACTCTGACGGGGTCGGCTGGTTGGCTAATATCTCGGTTATTAAATCGACGGAATTTCACTCAATCACTCCGTGCCAGGCGAGTCAAAACCATTGTCATCATTGAGTCAGGGCGTGAGAGGCCTGGTAGTTTCAATTCGCACACGTTTAAGACATGCCCGATGGCTGTAGCTGCCTAACTGATATCGGAAGATGGGGAGGCTATGGAGGCAGGCAGGCAGGCAGGCAGGGAGCGGGATGGCGGGCGGGCGGGCGATGACGCCGGTGGGTGGAGGAATATGCCTTGTAAGCTTCAGCGCTACTCAATCCGCCATTGCTTTAGCTCACGGAGGCATCAAACCGGGCCACATGTGCTTCGATCATAAGAGTGGTGAGACTTTCGGGGGCTCGGTGGAAGAAAAAGAAGGCTCGGGCGTGAGCCACAAGACCCATCGGCCGCTGAAGGGTCCTCCTGGCCCCGAGCTAGGACGAGGCTGCGAACCTCGGCGGAGTCTGCGTCGTAGGACCGTGATTGATCGCGGCACAACCAAATGGAAGCGATCAGCAGCAGCAGGTGAGAAATGGGAATCTGGTTACATGCTGTAATCGGGACCGGACCGGGTCATTGTGTCGACGTTTCAATGGGGCGAGTCCAGATCCGCTCAGGTTGTTCCAACATACTATGGAACCGAGGGAACCAGATCGTCAAACCAGTATTTTAACTGCCTGCCATAACTACGGACGGCCTACGGAGCGCCTCGCTCTGAGCCAAGCCCGGAAAAAGTTCCTACTGATACTAGGAACAGGATATGATTTCATTGAAAACCTTGAGATCGGGCTTTTGTCTCTGACTCGCTCAAACGGTGGTGAAAATTTTTATTCTGGGCCCCTACAGCTGCAGTGACATGCTCCTTCGAAAACCGCCCGCCAGGACCGTGGAGGTCGTGGCAACACAACTTTTTTATCGTCATGAAGTGATATGTCTTCGACACCTCTCGCTCGCCCTCGCCCCCTCGCCCCCTCGCCCTCGCCCTCTGGACCAGCCCCGATTTTCTTTCTTCTTCTTCTTCGACTGCACTGGGCCACGAGTCACGCCACGTGAAAGCGAAGCAAGACTATGGATCAGCTCGAACATGCAACTGTGATCGATTCGGTCCCGAATTTGTGATCAAGTCCCTGGCAGCATGTTCCCGACGCCCGCCGGCGTACCTTGGACCATGGTCTCTCTCTCTCTCTCTCCCTCTCTCTCTCTCAAGCTAAGGCTTCAGCAATATCAATATCAATGCTTCGCGAACAGATGTGTGGCCAATGGGTCCAGCCAGGTCTACGTCCACATATCGACCGCCGCATCAAAACAGTCTTTCGTAGAGTAATCCGCGGGTTGCATCCAGGTTCGATGGAATCTTGAGCTTGCGCTCACATGAGAAGCAATTGCGCACCTGCTGAATCTTGACTATGGGGATCTTCCTACAGTAATTGTTCCCCTCTGTCATGGCACTTTAGGACTTGCACACGTGCATTCCATATTCCAACCATTCACACCACGACGTACCGCCACCCGTAAGCTCGACAATATTTACTCCCCTGCTTCTGATAGATGATCTTGGAGAACTATAATTCCTACTTATCATCTCGGTATCGGGTGTTTAGAGCCACTCCCCTTCGGAAAGTCATATATTACACACACCGAACTAACTTAATACTGCCATTCAGCTCTTGCATACGTCGTTTCCATACGGTGCAAACCTCATATGGTGCCCAACTGGTCTCTTTCCACGGCTGTAAGCCTCGAGATTCCAGCTTTTAGGGCGAGTGAAGTAATCATGATGATGGGATGCAAAGAGTTCTTGTATCGATCACCTTTGCCATTCATATAAAATGGATCTGCAGTTTAATATTCTGTGAGTAGATTGTTGTGATTCTCGGATGCTTTTTGGCAAGAAAAGTCAATGCTTCAAATTGCATCTCATTTGGCAGTGGTCTCACCATCGATCATTTCCCCGAATCCCACGCCTTCATCTCTCGAAGAGTTGGCCCCTCGATTGAGTTTCAGGCAGGACGGGTGTGATGTCCACATACAACTGGAACGATCTCTCCGTCTCGAACGAAGATTTAATTACGACTGAAATCTAAAAAACGCCTGCATAGAAATCTAAGACGCTTGCATGGTCTCGACGAAACCGAAAAAACGTTTGAAAATTTGCTCAAACTTCTCGTCGGGGGTTTTCTGAGTGCAGTGGATGTACTCGAGGGGAGCAATGTGGGTGCATACCCATGACATTTGATTAGAATATGTGTCGTGCGTTGAACAGAGTGTAACTGCTTTTGAATCACTGGAATGGTGAGCATGATTCAAGCTGAAGAAGTACTGTTCATCATGAGGTTGCTGTAAAATTATAACCAAGTCACGGACGAGCCCCATTGACATCAGACTTTGAAATTGCTGAATATTTGGGCCATCGAGATCATCAAAATAATTGTATTATTCCATCTCGCTTCGAAACCATCTGCCGACAGACTTGAATGGGATTGAAAAACTGTGATTGGTCAACATGTGAACTTATGAAGACCTCGTCCGATTCACACCTAATAATGAGATCAGACATATCGAGATCACCATCGAATGGCTATGTACGTGCACACTCGACACTCAAGTCTCCTCGGACAAATGAGAGATAGAGACAGAGTCAAGTACATTAGAGTGTCCGTCCACGGCCATGTTGCTTCTCGTCCGCCTGCAAATTCAGGTTGACTGGAGCAACGCAAACTCACAAAGAATTATGGCCGGACATCTGCACGAGGAACAAAGATGTAATCATGGACCCCATGCGCTTGGGCAGATTCAGGCTGACGGAGGAATGCTTTGGACAGAGGACGGCAGAACAGAGCGCGAATTCTGTTGGATCCACTTCGTGGAATTCAGATCCAAGCTCTCGACAGAAAGTCATTCTATAGTGTACAGATTGGTTCTTGTAAGAGTGTCAGGGCCTCGCCATCCTGGTGGCCCTAGGTTGTTACGAATATCAGTAGTGGACAACGAATTCGTGATGTATGTATCGTACAACCTCGACCGAACCACGATGCGATATCAATCACCTGCAATCATCGGACCTATACGACCATTATGGACAATGGTGCAAGCCTCATGGACCGTGGAGGTAATCATATAATATACAAGGCATAATAAAAAACTCAAGGGTCCATCGCTGCCCATCTCTTTCACAGCTCACGTCACAAATCTCTTATACTCGGAAAGTCTCCATCTCTTGAACGTACTCAACCCCCGGAGTCTTCTCGCCTGGCTGCGTGTGCAGGCGCAGGCGTACGCGTCAACTCAATCCCCGTGCCTTGTCTGTGTCACTCCCAGCGCCTAGGACCTCACCGGAAAAACAAAGTGGACATCGATAAATATTTGAATTACGCGAGAAACGGATTTGCAGTCTCTGATTTGCATCAGACGCGGAAGAAGTTTCGCAGAAATGTATTATAATTCTGCTCCTGAAAGTCAATGGAAGTTGAGGACGGAGACAGAGCTGATGGTGGACCTCGCAGTCGTCGGTGTACGCACACAAATATTTGCATAGACAGAGTGGGAGGGATCAGGAAGGACCGCCATACTTTGTGCAAACCAGGGTCTTCTGGCTGTCAATGTCGAGGGTCAAACTCGGTGCTCCAAGGTCCATCCATATGTGCAGCGCCTGGCTAGCAAGTCCTGTATTTCGAACCTTCGGAACAAAGAACTGCTTCGGCTCGGTCTAAGAACGAAAAGGTTTGACCCGAATTCGAACCGCGCGAATCCGGAGGATGTGATGGGATATAGTGATGTCTGCATTCTCAATCATTGCTTCGTCAATTCCGTGGACCCGCAGGTTCATCCACAACACCATTTCGAACACTGACCCGCGGATCATCAATTTTGAGACAATTCGTTGTGGACACGGAACTGTCGTACGAAGCTACATGCTGTAGGTTGGTTTCAAGCCTACCTTGGGGCCGATTCATGCCTATTCATGCCATGATTTTCGCACTGTGCGCCGAATGCTATCGTTCGGCCCCCGAGCTCCAATCTTTCGAGAAGTGGTGGGAGATGAGTCCAACATTTGCGAAAGAGAGAGGATTCGGCGCATTCTTCTTTCCAGGGCTAAGGAGGATATTTTTTCATAAAATCTACCATCATTATCCACTCACGCAGATTCTGTTGTATATGAGTGCATGTAGCTGTAATCATTCTCGTGCGAGTGCGTGTGCATCAGGCCACAGCCCAAGTATGCTTTCGGCGCATTTGCATGAGCAAATTGTCGGCTAATCAGATTCCCACACCGATGCTAAGAAGAAAGATGAAGTTGCAGCACAGAGAGAGAGAGGAGATCAGAAGATCGGTTGGCACGAGACATGAGCGGAAGGACCAAAACTCGATTTCATGACACTCAGCAATACAATGAATTACAAAATTTTAATATGCCTTCTGCCAATAAGGAAGCGTACTTTCGAGGCACCGAGAAGATTCACAGGATTGTGGAGACCATTGAGCCCCCTGTTCCTCGAGCTCGAAGGAGACTCACGAGTGATCGAGTCACTGGGAACCATATACTCGGCACCGAAGGCCTCCACAAGGGGCGGGGTACAACAGTGCTCAGCTCACAACACTCGTAAGTGCTATGAGCAGCAGCAGCAGTGCCCTATGATAAAATGCCAAACAGCCATATGCCATGAGCCTAGTGTACGATGGGGCTCGCTAGCAGCTGGGCGGCGTCTACAGGAACCTAGGACCTACGGGAGCTAGACGAGTCGCTGCGCTTGCGCTGCCGAGAACCACCACTACTACGACAACAAGAGCACATGATGATGATGTTCATACTGTACCGCTTTTGACATGAGAGGCCAGAACTCTGTACAGAAGCGATGGAACGGGGCAGAATTGGAACTCGAAACAGTTGACATTCGAAGAAATTGTTGATTATTGTTGAAAGTAATAAAAATCTTGGAGGATATGGTTAATCCGCCACGATTTAAAAGAATGAAATGATGAAAATGTGTCTAATTATCTGGGGGCATTGATTGATGGATCCATAGAAGTGATAGATCGATTCTATCGGGCTCCCTCCCTGTAGAAAACCTATGGCTATGAAAAATTTGACAATATGCACATGGAGACTGACTATTGTATCTAATGTTGAGGAATGTTGCCGCATTAGCCTTCTTAGCCTGACACTTCCTCCATCCACCGGATCCTCTTGCTGCTGATGCTGTCCGTCCCGGTTGTAGCTGGCTGTCCAGACTCTGCAGCTGTACAACTGTACCTCGTATGTACATTTACACGCGATTTCGTCGTCGTCCGCCTTCCTTCTTGACTTGGGATCTCATTCGTACACCCCTGCAGCTGTTGTTCATGCTGTTGGTTGGTTGGTTGGTGATGGTGTCGACCTGCCTGCCCATCGTTCCGATGTAGAGGCAGCGGCAGGCGAATCCGAAGCGCTTGGTTCGATTCGGATCGTCGTTCTGATCGGTCATAGGTCGTTCGAGCGAGCTGCCTGCGCGAGCGATCTTCTCCCCCACAGACAGGAGCCTTTGTTCGATCTCGACCAGTCATTAAATGGATTCTCGATGGGACTGATCGGTTGATCGCCCTTCTCCGCTCACCTTCCCCTTCCTGCGGTCAGCTCGTGATTGAGGTTGGAGCTGTGCGCGAGGTCGAAGTACACAGGGGCCGCAGTCGATTGACGCGCCAGATTCATATTGTGCTGCTGCTGGTTCTGAAAGTGATTCAGACTGGGCACATAAGCAGTCGAAGTCCCACTGCTGGTGCCCATTGCGCCCGCATTGGCGCCCATAGACATCGACAGCAGATTCCCAGGCCCGGCCGAGGTGAAGTGAGCATGAATGCTGCCCAGGGTGCCATCGTCATGGTGGCTGCGGTGCTGCAGGTCCAGATAAGGTGCAGTGGCGAAGGACGAAATGTTGCCGGCGTTATTGTTGGTGCTGCTGGCGGAGGAGTGGTGATGGAGGCGGTTCAGAGCCCCGCCCGAGGCGTAATTCAACGTGCTCGCGAGCGAGGCGCGGTAGGAGCTCTGGGCTTCGTCCTCCATGTCCAGGAGCTCCGGAGGGCTCTGCCTGAGATGACTCTCCAAGAATAGCTCGGACGACATCATCTGCATGAAATCCTTGCTGGGGCGCCAGGCATTGTGGGCGCCGCTGTTGTTGGGCCCCAATTCGCCCACCATCGCAGAATGGTTCAGCGGATGCTGCTCCGCATTCAGGTTCACCCGGTCGTGAGTCATGGGCTCGATCTTCGGCTGCAAGCTCGTCCCATGGCCGCCCTGCTGCTGCTGCTGCTGCTGCAGAGCGCTGGACCTGGCATCTGGCGGCGACTCCACCTGTTCCGGAGGATTCGGGCTGCCAATCTCCGAGCCGTCGCCCGTCAGGAAGCTGTCCATGAGCGGCGAGCCCATGTTCTGGATGGTCTGCAAGTCCTGGTCCATCAGACCGCTGAAGGTCTGCTCCAGCCTCGGCAGCATAATTCGAGGATTGTCGATCTCGGGCAGCGAGGCCAGCACCTCCTCGACGCAGGACGAGCTCTCTCGCTCCTTCCCGGTCCTCTGCGCGTTCGTGCTCTTCTTGTAAATCCTGCACAGAACCCAATCGTCGAGCTGCACAGCAAATCGACACAAAATGGCTCCGTCAGTCCCACGTGCACGGGAGAAATTCGACATCTCTTCCCCTAAGAACCCATCCCCAAGTACCGCCCCTCCTCGCCATCATCCACTCCAATCCCTCGGCTAAGCTTCCCTTCGCGACGACCTTGTCTCATTTGCATCACCGCGCGTGTGCGCCGCAGTTTGACCGACCGGGGCAGATAGCACCGAGCGCAACAGCAGCAGCGCTCGTCCACGTGCCCGGAAGCCATATGCAGTTTGACTTGGACGAACACGAATCCTACAGTAATTCTTCGGGCAATTGCCAGATGCGAAGAGGTCGCAATCGAAACCGCCCCCTAGAGCTCAGACTCAGGTGGCGCTGCTGCACGAGCTGCTGCTCGAGGACTTGCCTCGGACCATGAATCTGACACTCCGTCAGCCGGTCAGGTCAGCCCGAGCTTCAGCGCGCAGGACTCAGTGCTCGCAGTGCAGTGCATGAGCATCTGACTGCATCGAATCGAAGCCATGGGCCATGGTGGATTGATTCTCCATGGCCCCGCCAGAAAGATACGCGAATGCTCTGGTCTGGGCATCGTATGCCAGTGGGAAATTTCCCTGGATACGGTCAGATCAGACATCTCTCGCAGACAGACGGAATTTCGCCGATGCTGATGCAGCAGCCCATGCCGACAGGTGCGCACTGAGCGCAGTTACACGCTGAATCAGAACACTAAATCACGCGCCATAGACTCAGAAGCGAAGGCGGATGAATCCCGAGAGAGAGATGTGTGGAGTGGAGAGATGGCGTACCCTAAGCGAGCCCTTGCGGTGGACGTGATGGGTCGGGGAGATGCCATTCTCGGCCAAGCGGTACTCGTGCATGATCCAGTTGGTCTTGACTCCCTTGGGAGCACGGCCCTTGTAGAAAACCAAAGCCTTCTTGACGCCGATCTTAATGGGCGTCTTCACGTCCTTGGTCCTGTAAATTGGTTTGTCAGTCCCCGTGGCTTTCCAGTATCCGGAGCCCGCCGCTCGATTCGGCCGAGCTCCGTTCGGGTACTTGCGATCGCGCGGGCTGAAAAAGTACCATTCCCTCTCTCCGAATATCGCCTTGTCTGCAAGCGCACCAAACGAAGCGAGTTCAGTACACGAGCGACCTTCGAAGCACGGCCGGGGTTTGAACTTAATTCACAAAGCCTCTCTCGTCTGACAAATCTCGGACTGACAAATTTCATCGAGCCTTTGAAGCTCGAGGCACGCGGTGACGATCGCATTAAGAGTCAACGTCCGAGGGATTCGGTTCAGCACATGCACATGAACATGAACATGAACACCACCGCTTCAGAAGTCGGTAGCGCAAAAAAAGTCTACGAATCCGCAGCCTCAATTCTCTCAGGCTCCCTCTCGTCGCTCGGGAATCGCTGGGATTGAAATCTACTTCTCAAGGTTTCTCCACAGGCCTCGGCCGACTCACGACGCACACGCAAATCAGCAAAGAATCGAAGAGAGAGTGCATACCAGGCGGGTACATACCGGGCAGATCCCAGGGATCATGCTTGTAGAGGTCGACGTCGGCAATCACTGGCAGATTGAACACGTAAGCCTCGGCCTTAGGGCCCAGGTAATGCAGCACAAGTTCCTCGTCGGTTGGATGGAAACGGAAGCCCGGTGGTAAGATCAGCGATGACGCTGGTCCCTTCGCCGCCATCACCATGCTGAATGCTGCAGCTGGCAGCGAGGTGGACTCGGGATTTGGAGCGGCGAACGAGTCCGAATCCGACGACGTTCCCACACCTGCTTGCTAAATCTGAGAATTTCTCTGAACACCTGGTCTCGTCGACGCTCGGTCGGTGCCTAGAATTGAACTGGAATTCCCTCGGTCCAGAGAGGAGGAGAGGAGGAGGGACCAGAGAAAAGAAGAGGAGCGCTGGAGTCGATCAAAATTGTGGATTGTGCGTGGACAGCGTTGGTGCAAAATCTGGAGAACGGAGGCGAGCAGGGCTGCGTGCGTGCAGACCGGACGGTGCGTCTCTGTTCTCAAGCCGGTCGGAAGGCGGAGCTCGCAAGGACCTACTGGTGACCAATTCGAACGCTCATGAGGAACATGATAAGAAGCGACGAGTCGGGTGGTGAACTGAACTGGGCCTCCCTTGCAAACTAAACACTGTCACGTGAAATTATGGCCTAAGGTCTAATCAGGATGGTCCTGGCAACTGCAGCACAGCTTCACCGTGAGCCTCGAGGATTGTGCGATTTCTCCCTCACTTACAGCGTTGAAGAAATAAAGGGTGACCAAATCCGACGAGAAGGTGACCATTGGCCCAGTATCTATGAAAGCCTGGACTGGGAGTCTGAGAAACTTCGCCTGTACGATTTCTCCCCTTCCGTGCTAAGCCGAGCTGCGTCACTATCAATTTCAACCGTTCGCTGCCTCGCTCGCTCGCTCTGTCCGGTCAGCAGCTCCACGACCCGAAAACAAACGACGACCTGTAGCGATTGAACCAGCAACTACTCCCGAACCGGAAATTGCATAAATTGCATAAACTGAATAGATTTCTGGTCCTCGGAATTTGTCACTCCACGTCGAGCGAAAGGGCCACCACGTTGAGCGAAGGCGCAAGTCCACAACAGCGAGAGGACTCTCAGAGCACCGGCTGATGCAAGGCAACGAACAAAGCAAGGATTTACTCACTTCTCAGCTCTTGCAGTGGAGCCTCTTCACTTTCGCTCGCTCTCGCTCTCTCTCTCTATCTCTCTGACTGACTGAACCTTCTCCCTTCTCTCTCTATCTCTCGGGGGCTGAATGGCAAGCGGAGAATTGGAAAGCAGGTCTTTAAGGAGTGGAAGGGAGACCCTGGGCGCCAGCCACGAAGATGTTATGCTATTATGGAGGGTATGACACACATCCAAAGCTGCGCAGCTCCCAGGACCAGCAAGCACATGAGACACACGAACAGAATGTTTATCATAACACAAAGGCCTTTTGTTGCTGGGAAGAACGAACTGTTGAGGGGAGAATTATATCCCTCCTCTTAATCCCTGGCCACCGAGGGTCTCCATCGCTTCCCACTCCTCTTCCATCGCCCATGGCATCGTCATCACTGTCATCATCACATAGCAGGGCCGCCAGCACGCATGCCCCTTCCACACTTCCCTTCGCTCGCCTTTACTTTGCTCACCTCGTCTTTCTTTCCCTTCCTCCTCTCCTTTCTTTCTTCTTCTTCCTTTCACACATCTGCGCCGCCCTCCCGGACACAAACAAAGTGCTTCTCCAAATCTGCACACCTAAGCCAGATCCCGCTTCATTTCATGCATTGATTATTATATTCCCCTCCTTCAACATGTTACCCACGCGCCGGGGTGAATTTTGTACCCGAGCTTCACCGCAGTCAGCTACAAGGTCCGCCTAGCCTGAAGACTTACCCCACAGTCAGCTAAAACTTTTCTCCCTGCCTTTTCTCCCTCGTGGATTCACCCGAGTCTGCTACAATATCTTTTCATCACCAACTAGTCTCTGGCTGCAACCGGCTGCAGGCTGCCCATAGCCATCTACATTCCATGGATAAAATTAAATAAATTACTGTGCTTTCTCCCGCCCCTGCCCGCTCACCCATAACTCCGCTTCCGAACCCAGCCGAGCTCGAGCTCGAGCTCGACCGCAACGGCTTGAGTTCAAGCTTTTCCTTTTCTCTGCTGCTGGTCGGTCCGTCCAGCACGAATCTGTCTGTCATTTAACTTTTCCTCGAGAGGGCAATTAGTTAAGCACTCAATCAGCCTTCATCTCCATCATCTTTTGCAGATGGGCGATCCGGGTAGCTACGATGCTAAAGCTGGAATTTTGCTGTTTGTTTGTTGTGGATGGGTGCCAGCCAACCCGAACAGAATTGAACAAATAACCTGAACAGCACTGCAGCGCAAAGCGGAACTTTCGAGCTCGATCGGGAAAAAGAAATTCATCGAAATGGCATTATCTTACCAGTGCGGGAAAGAAATAAAATACGAAAAAAGGACGGCTGGAATCAAGGCCCGAACCAGCATCTGGACCTGAAGAACTCAGACAGGGTGCGATAGAAGACTAGCTAGGACCCGCAAGAGGAGGGAACGCAGCAGCAGCAGCAGCAGCGCCGTCATTAATCGCACACGTGTTATTACAACTTCAGCAGTCAATTGGGGATTGCGATACCGGTGCCACAGGAGAGTCAGGACCCATTGGTCTCGTGGGACTTTCCTGCCTATCTTCCCTGCTTTCCTTCCTGGGACCTCGCATGGTTTTTCATCCCCCATTCGTGAAAAAGAAACAGGCGTCCCAGGAGAAAAAATATTGTTCCTTCTTTCCGTCCATTGCGGGATGCCGGTCCGGTCTGGTCTGTTTAATTTGTCGGTCGGGACGGTCGGTCTGTACAACCCTCGCACGATGAACGGAGTCTGGAATCCGCTAACAGTTCTGTCCTTCTGTCCATCCATCCATTCGTCCCTTCCCGTACTTCCACTATCCTTGTGCTTCCTCCTCCTCTGTTTGTCAGAGGTGCTTCTGTTGTTGTTTTTCCTTGTCTCTATCTTTCACCACTCCATTCGTTTCTCGCTTCTCCACAAATCTTTACATCACTTATCTTTTCTCTCTTGTCCACATTTTACAACTTACGTGATATTTTCCTTGATACATCACATACAGAAATCACATTCCGATCCATCACATACGATCATTCGTACGAAGCTCAACATCACGATCCCCTCAACTTTCAGCCAAACTCTTTGATGACTGAGTGAGGATTAGAAGTCCTTGTCTAAGCATATTATCCATCCATTGGACAACCCATTGATTTCATGATTATGATGTAGAAATTTCTGTAACTTCCTTGTAAGCTGGCGCTTTCCAACAAGCCTACCAATCTCTCTCAAAGCAGTTTCACTTAGTGCAACGTCGACGGCAGTCGATATTCGACATATTGATTAAACCAGTTGGGTTTCGTTCGTAGATGATTCCTTGTCGACGGCAGTCGATATTTGATATATTGATGAAACCAGTTCACCTGTCAACCCATCTCTCATCATTTTCTGATGCAAATTCATACGTGAACAAAGACACAGGTAGTCACACATCAAGACTCCGTAGAGTTAAATTACGTGTTGGACTCTATTAAGAGGGTCAAATTGAGTAGGTTATCGATTAAGAGAAAAACAGTTTCTTGAGAATAGACGCGTCTCGTAATCGATCGCTCAAACATCCCTATCACGATGAAAACAAGAGGATCACGATACTCTTAGGTATATGCTCGTTCAATTCATAACTAGTCAATACCACCAAATGCTTCAACGTTGAATTCATTAAAAAAAATTTCTGAAAATAAAATTCTACCCCCAAACTCCTAATCGATCGCTCAAACATCCCAATCACGATGAAAACAAGTGGATCACGATACTCTTAGGTATATGCTCGTTCAACTCATAAATAGTCAATACCACCAAATGCTCCAACGTTGAATTCATACAAAAAAAATCTGAAAATAAAATTCCACCCACAAACTCCCACTGAATTTAACTCCAATCAAGAACATGATCATGAAATTAGATTAGTTCGTTTCATTATCATAAAAGGACATGATCTTCGGGAAAAAATTTGATTTATTGAAAACTAAAATGAAGTTTTTAAGTGATTTCCACCTAAATCGTTCGAAGCGGAATGTTTGCAAAGTTAACAGTATTTGAGTGATCACATGTCGCGAGAATATAGCAACAAGAGAACCAGTGTGATCTTAGGTGGACATTATACACAGATTCAATTCTTGAGAGAAGAAGCTCTAGACTTTGGTAGATGGTGACTCCAGTTCATGAAATCCCGAGTTGATGAAAACTGATGTTTTTACCTTGCCCAGTAGTTCAGCAAACCAGCAGTGTATTCATGTATCTCATATGAGATAAAGTGGAGAAATGTAAACAGCAGAAATTCGATACCCCGTTGATTATGAAATCCTACAGAACAACCGGTAGGTTGCATCAGGACCTCAGATTTCAAAATCCTGTAATAGTACAAGAGCACAACCACTTGTATTCATCTTATCGCAAAATACTCAGTATAGTAGAGGTTGGATTGAAAAGAATAGTTTGAGTTCATGGTGGAGATCTCTTCAACTAAGGAAACTACATCCCGAAAAAATTGCAGGCCAGTGTTATTGGGTTCCACCGTGCTGCCCTATAAGTTAGACATGAAACGACCAAATACCCTTCTGTCTTCACTTTCTACCAACTTTTGAGTGTTGGATAACCCGGGATATTCTTTACTATCTACAACGGCTTAGAATCTCAGGAATGGCACAAGTTATATAACGCAATACCCTGGCGATTTACACGTCTACTCACATAGTCACTTTCCACCCACTTTCCTCGGGCACTAAGCTCGCATTTTCAGGAGATTACAATCGATGATTTAGGCAATACAACCTCAAATCTGTAAGTTCACGCAGTCAATGGTGCATATGTTGTTGCAATCTTCACCTCTGAAATAGAAAGCTTAGGTGTCTGATATCTTGCGTTAGGTTGTAGTGACACATCCATCGAGTCCAATACAAATCAGTTCCGATCTACTATTGTAATACGTCTTTCTGCGTCCTGACTCGCAAGCACATGCTCGTGAAGTGTATAAGCCACATGGCATGTGCTCATTGTTTGCATTGACATTCGACGTGTACGTGGCACTTTTGTTATTGGACCACTTGGCCACGTATAGCCTCGTCCTGTAGTTGTCTGCCTCAGCCTACACATCATGTCAACCTTTCCATCTACAAGATTCAACAGCATGTATTCGTCGTTCCGCTTCTTCTAGATCAAGCTTTCCTCTGGCATGAATACCTTGTTCATGGCTATATGGAGAGGTGTGATTTTGATGTATCGATGCTTCATAATGATTTCCACCTGGCGCATCTTTGTCCTAAGAGGTCCTGAAGGCATGACTCTCACCATTGTCATGTTGGGAGGAGTCAATCCATTGAAGAAATCGAAAGTCAATCTCACACTCGCCAGTCAGTCCATCCATCATAACCAACACAGAAGCTTCATAGAGAGGATGGAGACAGACGCGTACAAGCAAATGGAGCTCCTGGATCTGCCATGTAACCGAAACCATGTGAGTATAGAAGATTCAAGCCTGGCGCGCCGCCCCCCCTGAAAATCTGACATTGTCTCAAGTCAATTCTGAGACTGTGTAGAAAGGAGATCGATGGATGGGTGTCATGAACTTAAACCACGAGGTTCTGACACTCAACCCAAACCATGTGTATAGAGGAGTCAAGCTCCATACTACTCTCCTCCTCCCGATAGTAGGAATGGCGTAGATTGTTGACACTTGTCCCCGACCTTCTTGATCTGGAGACAGGATTGATAGCAATATTACCACGTTTCTGAGTCAGACAAGAAGGAAGAAGAAGAAGAGATCTACTGAAATTAAAGGACTTGTAGTTTTGACACTTGGCTACCCTCCATCTTTGGAGCTCAGGCCATTGGCCAGTTCTGAAACATTTGATATTTGGTGTCCTTACACTTTTCCACATGTCATTGAGAATCAAACTCTCCATGTTTCATCCGCCAATAGTACCGGCAGTATGACACTGAACTATCCTCCTGATTTTCATTGTTATTATCCTATGTTTAGGAATCAATTATACACAAATCTATAAGAAGTCATCAATGTTAGAGTTTCATATCCACTGAAAAATTCATTCTGTTTGTTAAACAAGTCATCAAATCTGCTTTCATGTTTACACAAGCATGAGCGGACTACAAATATGATCTATGGAACAATTTTCCAAATTCTA